TCCACTACATATACAAATCGTTGCATTAGGGAGACTATTGAAACAACAAACATTTTTCTGGCTTTTAAAAAGGTATTAGCAGCTGCACAATCCACCAAAGTATGGCAACTTCAGCAAAAGAGCAGACAGATGCAGGGTCAAGATGTTTCATCACTGCATCCTCAGTATAACCCTGAGCTTGATTTTACCAGCCATAAAGATTCCGAGCTGTTTTGTTCTGTTTATGTCTGTGATTATTTGGCAAAATGTAAACTGTCAGCCATTGAGTAAATATCCGCCACATGCATTCCACAATTAACATCTTATTATATATATACTTACTTTAATATATATCTGTCTGTTCATACCTTTTTTACTGGGTTTTAGGGTGCTAGCATTTAAATGGTTTCCAGGTTCTTTCTGTCTAGCACAAATAATTGAAAGAAACAAGGAAATATGATGGCAAAGTTTCACATTTATTGGAGGTAGGAAAAATTAAAAGTGAAGGGTAAGAGAGAAACCGGCTCTGCAGAGCAAGCTTGGGCCAAGTAAAAGAGAAGAAAAAATACAAATCAAAATAAAATCAAAGTACACAATAGCAAGCTCATGGCTTTTGTATCCTTTTATTCATTCCACATATGGCTGGAACCTGTGAGAACTCCATTTAAGGGCTTGAAGAGGTCATTCTGTGGGGCTGCATAGATTCTGGGATCCCACCGCGCTTCACTTCCCAGCCAGCCTAAGCCACGTGCCGTCTCACTTCTGTCCAACCAACAGTTCATGTACTTTTCTGAAGGTGCAGACATCAGTAAACTTTACCCCTAAGTAATTCAACACGCATATTGTTACCTACACCTCAGTATTAAAGTAAAATTTGCGAACAGCCAAATGCACCAATCTTAAATGTACCATTCAATAAGTTTTGCCAAAAGTACACATTCATGTCATTCAAACTTCTGTCTAGATGTGGGGTATCACCCTCACCTCAGAGTTCTCTCATATCCCTTCTTAGTTAATTCCCTAACACCATTAGTCTTAACTATTCTAGGACTCACCAATAGTTTTACTATTGTAGGACTTCATGTGAACAAAGTTTTATTTTGTTCTTTTATGTAAAGATTTCATCATGCAAGATAGTGATTTTGTGATTCATTTATGTTCTGAAAAAAAAAGAGTTAGCTACTTTCAATTGTTGAGGATACTGCTCTGTTGGAATACACTAAATTTTGCCACTATTTTCTTCTTAGACATCAAGGCTATTTCCAGTCTTCAGTTATTCTAAATAAGTATACTGGGAAAACTCTGTAAAAAATCTATTTGTGAATGTTTTCATTTCCATTGGGTAAATATATAGAAATGGAATCTGCACGTCATAAAATGTATGTTTAGTTTTATAAGAAACCTCCAGAACTTTTCTTCAAGGAGTTGTACCATTTTATTTTATTTTACTTTAGTTCTTTGAGACAAGGTATTGCTATGTATTTCTGGCCTTGAACTCACAGCAATCCTCCTGCCTCTGCATCCCAAATGCTGGGTTTACAGTGTGCACCACCTAAGAACTATAGCGATTTAACTCCCACCAATGATGTATGAGAATTTCTGTTCCAAACTGTCATCAACATTTGGTATTATGGGTCTTTAGGATTTTAGACATTCTGGCAGGTCTTTGTCATATTACTCTTTGAATTACAAAATAAGAATATTCATAGTGGAGAAAGTTTCCATTTTTAAAGGTTGACTGAGGCAGTATCTGTTTTCATGTCCTCTCATTTCTAAAGCTGTTCCAATTCCTTAAGCTGTTCATGGAAAGGAGATTCATAATTTGGTGGTTACTTTAAATGCTTTTGGATCCAACTTGAGCTCTGAAATTTTGTTGAAATCAATTTTGTGGGGTGTTTTTCAATAAACACCAAGGCTTTCAAATTATCAAAATGACCAGATTATCTCTTGATTTACACTCAATAGAAAAAATATGAGTCATCATAACCTAGTCGCTAACTCATAAATTCTGACTGAAATAAATGAACATCACACCAGGGTGACTCCCATAGACCAAGCTTTGATTAATAAGAGTTAATCCTGTTAGAGTAAGCATACATAATGTGGTAAAGTTACCTCTACATTAAGTTGTTTTTAGGCTCTGGAGGAAGCCCACAGGTCTAATTTTATTTTAATGTAAATGCTAGATCTTGTAATTTATCCCTAAGAAATTTCAAAAGCATTCAAATTGCTATTTTTGCTTTGTCCCCAGTCTCCATGTTCCAACTCTTGTTCATTTGTTATGAAAATGACATAAATGCACTTAATGCTGCTCAGAAGTATTTTTAGTTCACTACTTATAACATGAAACATATTATAGCCCATTGGACAATTGGTCTTTTAACCACTCTTAGTAATCAGTAATAGGGAAGCATTTTAGAGCTTTAAATGGAAGAGAGATGTGGTAAAAGTCCAGACGATAATGTAAGCTGGTCAAGGGAGCATGACACACTATCATAAAAGATACCTTAGCTTTTCCACTGCTCTTTAAGTAGTTCCTTTCTCTATATATACTTCAGTTTTCCAAGATTATATTACTGGCATCACGTAGTCACCTTCTTCCTACAACATGTAGAAGGAGTATAAAAGCTCTATCTTTTTTTGAATCCCTAAGAGTTACAAAGGCCCTGGGAGATGGCATATACAAAGATATTTTGAATTACAGATTTTCATCTCTATTATGGCTTGCCTTTTTTTCCAGAAGCATTATCTCTCTCTAGTTAATAAATGATAATCAAAATATACTGGCTCTTAAGATATGTTAATATAATCATCCTTTGTTTAAATTACATAAAATCTCATCTACATATGAGATTTGCATATTTTTGGAACTAAGCCACTAGGCACATATTTTGTGCCTCTGAAAATAAGAATACCCTATGGCTTGCAATAAGACTATACTAACTGTCCCACTCATAAAATGTACAATATACACAGAAGATTTATTATATGGCTTTGTTTCTTTTTTCTTTGATCTGCATGTGAACCACCATGGCCAATGTTCTGCATAGGTGAAAATAAGCAATTGCAATTGGGATGATGAAGAAACACAGAAAAGACCTGCCCGTCTTAAAATATTTTTCTTCTAGCTTGCCTTTGGAATAAGACATTGTCTTCAGATTGTTCTATGAAAAGCAGTGTATTATCAGATAATATACCAGAATCATTTTTTATTGCAGGAACTATTAATTTACATTTACCGTTCAGAATCCAGCAGGGCCATAAGAAAATGAGACAGAGACATTTCCAAAAGCTAAAGATGACATGAAAAAATGTGTGTGGGAGTGGCGGGCTGGGGTGGGGTGGGCTGAGGAATGCTCCTGGTAGCAGGCAGAGGACTTGAAGGCAGAAGGCACCTATAGGAGGAAGCTCTAAGAGAAAACTTCCCCCAATGGACTTGCTTCTAATGTCAGTCAAGGGCTGGACCCCTGGAAAGAAATGAGAGTCAGGTAGTCTTAATTTCCAGCTAAAGCCAGATTTCAGTCAGCTCTCTGAGGCACTTTGTTCTGTCTGACACAGGAAAGACCTGAGATGACACTGCAGGCATCACAGATATGGAGACAAAGAATTTTGCATTTCCCCTGAGTTATATAAGCCATATGGTTAGATAAGCTCTTGCGTCTTGCTCATCCACTAAATAAGTATTGAAAAAGAAAATTAATTATCATTATCAAGTGCTGCGTACATACAGATTCTTTTTATTGTGCTTTCAGTGCTTAAAAATGAAGCCATCATTTTTTTCTGATAATTACTCCTGACATTTTGCCACTGACCCACTTTACAAAGGAATCAAGTCCAAATGCTACATTATTTAATCAGAATTCATTGCATTTTAAATGAATGGGGATAGAAGTAAAGATAACACAATAGGACATTTGTCAGAGTTCATTTTTTGGTTTTCTTTCATCTCAAATTTATCATTAAACTTTATCCCTTTTTTCAGCTTATGCTATGAGGCATGTTATTTTAGTTGCATATAAAATAAAGTTACTATTTTATCAATAACATTTTCTCCTTTTTTGAGGGGGTGAACCTTGAATGGCCTTCTCACTGAGCTACATCACCCATCCATTTTTATCATGTATAGTAAGGACAGACTCAAGAAACACCCAGAAAATAAAATTTAGAACAAAATTTCAGCATAAATTTGGTGTTCAGCTAATGTGGTAGCATACTCCTCTAATTCTAACTCTCAGGGAGGCTGAGGCAGAAGGATCCCAAGTTTGAGTCCTACCTGGGCAACTTAGCAAGATTTTATCCCAAAATAATTTTTTTTTAAGTTAAAAACTGGGTCTGTAGCTCAGTAGTACAGCAGCCCTGAGGACAATGCCACATATGTGTTTAAAAAAAGGGGCTGGGGAAGCAAGTTCAATGTTTATTTAGCTTAAGTTGTTAAACATAATAATTAGAATTTGATTGTTTTTCTGTTTTTTCATAAATTTTATATGTTCATTAAAAAGTTTGGCCTTTCATTCATAAATGAGCCATAGGAAAAAGAGGAATATATCATTTAGGCTGAGATTAAAAAAAACCTTGATTAAAAGGTTGATAAATTGGCTCTGAAATCATATTATGCTAATATTAATGAATTGTCTTATAAACATTAATTGAATAGATCTTGTTTGTTTCTCTAAAAATAAGAATTTTTAATCTCTTTTTGAAGGCTAGAAGATAGTTATAATTTAAGTATATTTTGGAAATTTATTCCAACAGTGAAATTGAAAATGTCTGATATTTTCAATTACTTAAAGCATTTATGATTTTAAACTCCCAGCAGAGGCCTGCTGTGAAGGGGAAAAATTAAGAGCAGTTAGTCAGAAAGACACTTATGTAAGAACTGTCACACCAGTTATTGGTTTGAAAGCAGGAAGCTTGTATTTTAGACTCAAAGCTTGAAAGAATCTTTATTGAGCATTTTCCCTTCTCAGAGCTGATGAGTGAAATCTTGAGACTGTTCACAATTTTTTTTTATTCGATTGCAGCCCAGAAGATGGTGAGATACATCCAGAAATCTGCCGGCTTTATATACAGCTGCAGTGCTGCTTAGAAATGTACACAACAGAGATGCTAAAATCCATTTGTCTGCTGGGGTCTCTTCAGTTTCATCAAAAAGGTATCTGCATTTAGTGCCAGAAACACTGAGCAATTTACACACAATTAGAATGAATTTAAATGTTCAGGAAATGTTTGGAATATGAATTAATGAAAAGTCCACATCATTGCTGTCTAAGTGTATAAGAGCTCTAGTAGCTTGGAACAGAAATGATGGTAGGAACAGTTCTTAAATTTATTATTTTACCACTTGTGAACATGACTTTCATTAGACTCAGAGTAAGCACCAAAAATATATAATGATCTTACTACGGTAATAAATGTTTTCCAAGAGTGCTGCTATTTCTCTAAATGAATTAAATTGCACAAGAAGACAAATTACATATTGTCCCAAAGATTTAAAAACTGGAAGAGATCAATAAATAATAGGGAGATTTATGGGTAATAAAAAAATCTCATTGCCTGGTTTAACCCAACAACGGAGTCCCCTTTAGAGGTGGCTGTGCCTTTACCATAGTACGATCAGCCTTTAACTCTCATTCTTTATGATGCTCTGCCTTCTGGTACTGGCTTTACTCTCAAGATGACTGATGCCATAGTAGTAATCATATTGTAACAGTCCCAGTCAACCCATCTGTACACCACAGGGTCCGGAAAGAAAGAGAACTTCCTCCAACTTTAGAGCAAAATTCCTGAGCTTTGTTCTGGTTGGAGCAGCTCTACACATGAACCGTAGGTGGGCAGAATTCCACAGATTGATCTGGGTAATCAAGGCCTATTCATGGATCCAGAGGTATAGTCAAATCAACCTACCAATGCTATTATGTGATTGGAAATGGTAAAATGACATGGATTCTGGAGAAGAAGCTGAAAGTTTACATTAATGAAGGATTTGACATATATTTTCTTTAGTAATTTATTGAATAGTAGTTTATTGGGAACTTTTTGAGTACAAACTTTTGTGCATAAGTTCAGGAGAATAATACGATACATAGAAAGTAATCCTCACATGTGACTTAAATTCAGAAATGAAAAAGTTCAATGAACTCAGGGTAGGAAAAAGATTTCAGATGAAGACAGTTAAAAATTTGAAATCAAATGAGCATTGCAATTCGGCAGGGGGGTCAAAATGACATGATAAACCAGTTGCAAAAATTAAATCTTGTATACATACATATGTACATGTATCCAGTACTAAAAGCAGTATTATGTTACATTCCAAAGACAAGAGAATAATTTCTTGGTGTATGAATATTATATCTTTCCCATTTCCCCTTCTATAGGCTAATCTTTTAAGGATTCTCTTACTTCTTTCATTAAGAGAACATGTTTGGAAAGATTAGCTCCTTGAAATGCCTAATGCCTGATCAAAAAATTGAATATTCTGACACATTCATGACATCCAGACACATCATTGACCTGATATCTGTCTATCTCCCCACACCTTCTCTCTCTCTCTCTCTCTCTCTCTCTCTCTCTCTCTCTCTCTCTCACACACACACACACAACTCTCCCCACACCTTCTCTCTCTCTCTCTCTCTCTCTCTCTCTCTTTCACACACACACACACACACACACACACACACACGCACAGAGCATGATTTTCATTCTTTTTAATGACTGGGTACAGGTAGATTTATTTCCCAAGTCTGTATTGGCTACACCTGTAGAACTCCTGCCCCTGCTGCCACTGGAAATTTTCTTGCTGGTGACAATGGTGACAAGTCCTTAACTTTAGGACCTCCATTCTCAGTCTTCTTTTTAGTTTGCAGCCTGATCTCCTTCTGCTATCCGTTCTAACTTTTATCTCTTCACAATTGACTTTTGTTTTGTTTTGTTTTGTTTTGGTATCGGGGATCGAACTTGAGTCCTTGCATTTGCAAGGCAGGTGGCGGAACCACTGAGCTAAATCCCCGGCCACAATTGACTTTTGAAAGAAAAACTTTTCTCTGGTAGCACTACACTTAAAAGGAATTTCTTCATACAGATTGCTTCCTTGTTGCATTTGGTTTTGAGAACAAATAAAAAGCATGGTGGCTCTTAACTGATTTGCTTACTTGGTTTATCATTGCTGCCTGATTTCTCTGTCAGTCTCTGTTCAGCCTTCATCTTTGCTTCTTTTTTTTCAGCTTTAATTGAGTTTATTGGTACATTTTAGGGATATAGTACAGTTACATTCATTGTTGGGATCTTGTACCTCTACATGACAGATCTTGGTTCTCATTTTTTCCCCTTGTCCCTGCCCGCCCTTCACCCCCTCCTCCCCTCCCCATCTACAAACACTTTATTTCCATCTTTTCATTATCTCACATTTTTTTCTTTTCCCTTATTACCCTTCACCTACCCATCCCACCTTCCTTACACCTTTATCCCCTCTCTTCCTATTTCACAATGTCAGTAATCTTATTAGGATCTTATGTCTTATTACAGTTTATTCACACCAGAGAAACTATTTGGTATTTACACATGTGTGACTTATTTATTTCATCTTTTCTTCTTCTTTTAAAGATAAATAAGGCTGGAAGGTGAGCTTAATGACTGAGCACGTGTCTGGCATGCACAAGTTCCTAAATTTGATTTCCAGAACTTAAAAAAAAAAAAACAAAAACTTATTCACTGCTATGGTTGCTATATAGCTCTTGAAAAGAAAATACCTGACAGCATCTCTGATTCCTTCCATGTATAGGATTAAGCTTCCACATGGATTTCTCATTTATGCTTCTATAATTATTACCTAATGTGAAAATGTTAGAAAATTTGCTCCAAAATTATCTGTCTGGGATACTGGATAAATATGCAGATACTGGATCTTATCCAAGGACCTGCTGAATCTGAATCTAGATGTTTCTGAAACACAGTGTGGACAGGGAACTGCTATGCTATCCTCTGGAAAAAAAAAAAACAAAACAACAACACTCCTCCACCATATGAATAAAAATGAAAACTCGCAAGCTGTCATTCTGTCATCCTTTGCTACTCCCCACTCTTCTAAGTACCTGCTTTCAACATTATTTTATACTTTCTTCTTTTTTCCCACATTAAAGAAAAGCAAATACAAATTAGTAGATGCTTCTGATGAAGAACTAGGTTAGGGCTCATGTGGCCTTCTTCTCTGCGAATACTTGGCAAGACCATTGGAATGGGTAATGATTTTCAAAGTGCTGCCTGTGAACTAGCAGCATCAGCATCTGAATCATATGTTAAAAATACAAATTCTTGGTTCTCACCCAAGACCTACTAAATCTGTAGGGGAAAAATTAAAAGAATATTTCATGAGATATTTTATAAATTGAATATGTTTATAAATTGAATATGTAACACCTGATGTCCACATGTAATCAACTAACTGTACTTGCCTTACTTTTTTTGGAAGTATATATGTACCATACACCCCTGGCAAGCCTCTTGTGTTTCCAAAATGCACATCCAAGAGCTAACTGTCCTATAGAGTGTTACTTTTGTCCCAGTAGAGTTAAGGCATGAGGAGAAGATGGTTTCTTTATTGGCAAGATAGTCTCAGCCTATAAGTAAAGAAAATACTAATATATAGGGTTGAAGACTATGTCAAAGACAAAGATAAGTCACTTGCAGTAAGCTCCATAGAAAATGTCATTGAACCAAAGAAAATAAAACATATACATGAAAACATACAATAAACAAATTTCCTGGAAATTTCTGAAATATTAAATAAAATGCAATATCTTAGAGAATGGATTATTTTATTAAATATACATCATTTTGGATTTTCTAGTCCTATATTTTAAATACATCCTGTCTATTTCTTTAGTCCTTGCATCAATTTATTCATCACACCTAGCAGATTAACTGTATAATAGTATGTTGGACTTCTGGCTTGTTTGTTCTGTATGCCAAATTACACTTCCACCATTAGATCAGCACCATCTGGCGTCAGTAGGCTTTACTTTTCCTTTGGTATCACTGAAAACTGTTGGGAATGTTTGGTTTCAGTGACTGTGGACTGCCAGAAATAAATTGAGGGAGAAATTGGTCCACAGACTACAGCACAAGGGTACTAAACTTTAAAAGAACAATTGAGAAAATTAAAACATGTGACATGCATCTTCTGCTTGAAGCTTGGAGTCCTTACTCATAAAAATAGTCCTAGAAAAGTCAACAAGCCTGAGACACATTATAGAATCATGGGAAAGCAAGGCAAATAAATGCCTCATCATCATGAAAACAGGAGACGGGGAAGGCTTGAGAAGGAAGGCTCTGCTGATGTGACTCACCAAGACACTGAGTCGAGACTTGTGACCGTGGAAAAACAGGCATACTCCAAATAAGCAGTGGGGTGGGAACTGAAATAAAGGTGATTGCAAATTCCAGGCAAATTGGTAGGGGTGGCAAGATAAAGTAACATCCATCAAGAAATCAGTTTCCTTTCCCCAGGACTGACATATGTACATTACATATTTTATATATAATTTAATCTGTATGTCATATATAAGCAAAAGGATAATTTGTCCACTGAAATACGTCTATCTACTGATATTTAATTTTTTTTCCAGTATTGGAGACTGAACTCAGGACCTGAGCTTGCCATTCAGGCACAGCTTCCTGAACTACATCACCAGCCTTTTATCCACTGATATTTAAGATGCCAGACTAATTTTAAAAGATAAGACACAAAAAGTGGTACCTCTGGTATGGCTTCAGGCTAGGGAATGAGCCTGTCTAGAAGACCTCACTACCCCTCTTCTTTGCAAAATCAGACAGTCCTCTGAATCTCAGGGAATAGTGATTTCCCTTCAAATTTGTAACATTAAAAATCTCTTTCTGGGGTCAGGGATTTAGCTCAGTGATTCAGTGGCCTGCCTTGCAAGCGCAAGGACTGGAGTTCAATCCCCAGTACAAAAAAAAAAAAAAAAAAAAAAAAAAATCTCTTTCTGCTTGGAATTTCTTTTTTGTTTCTACCTTTTTTTTTCTTTTACTATTATAAGAAAAGTTGGTATTTTAGTAACAATTAGATAAGCTCACTTTTTTCCTTCTGTGCGTGTGTTGGCCATTCCTCTCCTTTTTATCTTTTATTTTCCATCAAAG